CCTAGTAATTTGATCCTATGTCAGAACGTTGTGATTCCTAGTAGTAAAGTGACTACTGATCACAGGTTAAGACATTGTGATTCCTAGTAGTAGAAAGTCTATTGACCACATGCTGAGAAGTTAGTGATTCCTAGTGATAAGACTACTGGACAGGTTATGAAGTTCCGAATAGTAGACTATTGAACACTGGATTTGTGTTTCATAATAGTAAGACTATTGGCTTCAGAGTGATAGGTTGGACCACATATATTTGGGTGCCTAATTCGGTTGATGACATTCTGGGAATGTATTTACTGTGATATGATTTTCAGAGTTTCATAATCATTGTGACACAAGGATTTGTTTAAGACTTTGTATAAATTCTACAAAGAAGACTTAATTATCCGACTCCAAATTGAGGAGGATAATAGAAAGAAAGGAGGGAGTACCTCTTCAGTGAATGCCAATGTCATTGAGCATGGAAAATTTTCTGGAATGAGGGAGAAGCCCCCCTTGAACGAAGTCCTGTATGTTCCAGACTTTCGCATGGTTTTTGAGTCCGACAAGGTCGTTCTGACAAAACACAAGTGTAAAACTTGTGTTGAAGCGAAGTGGACAAGATCCCGTATGAGTTATGGAAAGGCGTTAAGCCTTCTTATAAATTCTTACAAATGTGGGGGTGTCATGCAAAAGGTGGGAATACCTAAACCCAAGAGGGTTAGGATAAGCCTAAAAATCCGTTGACTGTGTATTTAACGGTTGTGCACAATATAGCAGTGCATATCGATTTCTTGTGGTTCAATTTGCTATTCCAGATATACACAAGAATACTATCATGGAATCAAGAAATGCATCTTTCTTTGAAAATGTATTTCCGTGTCGTCTCCAAGAAGGGATTCAGAGTTCCATGAAAGAGGTTGAAGGTGACAATGATCACATAGCTAATCAAACAAATGATCACTTGCATGATCAAGCTAAAGATGTAGAGAGCCAAGAAAGAGTAAGAGGGCAAGGACTACAAAGTCTTTTGGCTCGGATTTTTTGACTTATATGTTAGAGGGAGAACCTCCAACTTTCCACGAAGCTATGACTTCTCCTGAGAGTCCTTTATGGAAAGAAGCAATCAAAAGTGAGATTGACTCTATCTTATAGAACCACACCTGGGAGTTGGTAGATTTACCTCCAGGTTGCAAGCCTTTAGGCTGAAAATGGATTTTTAAAAGAAAGATGAAGGTTGATGGGTCAATTGACAAGTATAAGGCGAGGCTCGTTATCAAACGGTACAGGCAAGGAGAAGGCCTAGATTACTTTGATACGTACTCACCTGTTACTAGGATAACATCCATTCGCATAGTGATTGCGTTAGCAGCTTTGCGCAATCTAGAGATACATCAGATGGATGTAAAGACAGCTTTCTTAAATGGAGATTTGAATGAAGAAATCTACATGGAACAACACGAGGGGTTTTCAACTCCAAGACAAAGTAAGAAAGTCTGTAAGCTTGTCAAATCTTTGTATGGTTTGAAGCAAGCGCCTAAACAATGGCATGAGAAGTTTGACAACATAATGTTGTCAAGTGGGTTTAGAATCAATGAATGTGACATGTGTGTTTATGTCAAAGACACGGACAGAGGTTATGTCATTGTGTGTCTATATGTTGATGATATGCTCATTATAGGTAGTAACGATGAAATGATCAAAACTACCAAGAAGTTGTTAAGTTCTAAGTTTGACATGAAAGATATAGGCCTTGCAGATGTTATTCTAGGTATTAAGATTATCAGAACATCTAGTGGAATTGTACTTTCTCAGTCTCACTATGTTGAGAAGATATTTGAGAAATGTAGTAAATCAGATACAAGTGTGTCTAGGACACCAGTAGACGTTAGTCTGCACTTGACCAAGAATAATGAAGAAAGTGTCTCTCAGTTAGAATATTCTTGGGTAATTGGAAGTTTAATGTATCTGATGAGTTGTACTAGGCCAGATATAGCTTACTCGGTTAGCAGTCTTAGTAGATACACAAGTAATCCTGATGCTTCTCTTTGGAAGGGCATTGTGCGGGTGTTAAGGTAATTACGCTACACTCGGGATTATGGGCTGCTTTATACTCGATATCTAGCGGTGCTTGAAGGATATAGTGACGCGAATTGGATATCAGATATAAAGGACTGAAAGTCCACTAGTGGATATGTGTTCACTCTTGGTGGGGGCAGCCATGTCTTGGAAATCTTCCAAGCAAACGTGTATATCTAGATCAACGATGGAATCAGAGGAAGAAGCAGAATGGCTTTGCCATTTCATTGAAGATATTCCACGTTAGTCTAAACCTTGCCTGCTATTTGTATTCATTGTGATATCAATCAGCAATTGGTAGGGCACAGAGTATTATATAATGGAAAGTCTAGACATATCCGTCGTAGACATAATTCCACACACAACTACTCTCGAATGGAGTTGTCTCTTAGACTTTGTAAAGTCTAAGGACAACATTGCGGATCTGCTAACCAAGGTTAAATCGAGTGTTAGTCGAAAACGTCGTCAAAATGAATGGGGTTGAGGCTTTGGATTTACCAGAATGGAAACCCAACCTAGTTGACTGAGATCCAAGATCTAGGTTCAATGGGACAACCTAATTGCGTGTAACGGTGGTATGTCACTGAGGAGGTTAAACCTCCAGCCATTCCTTCTATCCTCAGTGATACCTGCAAGTGTAGAGGTTAAGCTGAGCTTTTAATGACTCTAGTGTGTTAAGCTATTGAGCTAAGTATTGCAGGATACTTAAGTAGAGTCACCTATGTGAGTGTGAAGTGGGGCCGCTTCTAGAAGAATTGGGCATGCCAAGATTCTTTGAAACCACTCGCTGAACCAGGCTAGTGTCCAGGGCCATACAGGGCACACCAGTGAGAACAAAATGGTGGTAGGAGTAATTCCCGTGTGAGATTTATTGTCTCAGTTTACATAAACGACAGAGCACTTCAAGATGTCATATTCACTGATCAGCCAGTAAACTCGATAGGTTTTCACAGGGAGAGATTCAAAGCCAAAAGCTACCTTCTCTGATGTCGGGGTTAGTTCGTCGTATTCACTCTCCGAGTCATTACTGTTGAACGGTGTTCGTTTGTTGAGTCATTCGGTCAATTTTTATTCATGTGGGGGATTGTTGGAAAAAACTGGGTTTTTGGTGACTTTAATTAAATATTAAAGTGGGTCCCAACCATCTATTGAGTTGGGTCTAAGTGGGTCTAGATACTTTGCAATGAGATCTTTACACCACAAATAGAATGGCCAAAAACCATTGACATTTGAATGAGAAATTGCCTCATGAAGTTAGCTTCATGAAAGAGGTAATGGGGTTTGTAACTTCTGCCTTTATTACAGAGTTTAATAGAGCATTAATGGAGTTTGTAACTCCTGTATTAATGGGGTTTGTAACTCTTGCCTTTATTTCAGAGGTTAATGGTGTATTAATGACCAGCCATAAAGGTTGGAGGCTTCTCCTCTCTCCTCTATACATGTATAAATTGAGACCCTCCTGTCAAGTTTCACAACACAGAAATTGTTTCTTCCATTTTTTAGTCAGTTTGCTAGAAATTTCTACAGTGAGAGAGTGATGCCACTGTTTTGTTTGCTAAGCTAGACAGAGAGTGCTTCTGCCAAAGCTGGTTTTGACCGTCGTATCCTGGGAGAAAGACGCCGGGATTCCTTAAGCACTCGACCCGTGAGGCAGCGAAATCTGTTTTAAGGAAACTGCTACCGTGCAGGCTTTGGTTTGGTTTCTTTACTATTTTTTATTCTTTTGTGTGTTTCTGTTGAAATTTTGTTGTAATTATCAGCATGTGTTCTTGGTATATAATTTTGATTTTTTCATAAATCTATTTCTTTAATTTCACAAAGATGAACAACAGTATTTATCTATACTTGCTAATAAAGGGTATATCTTAGTTGGTGTCTTAAAGGGATCTTTCATTTTTTATTTTTTTTAATCGGTAAATGTTAGTTGTTAGATTAGCACCTATAGGAAAAGATCTCTCAATCCTTGGCAAAGCATCAAGTGTTTGCACTTTCTTAATTCAATCCGCCAAAAGGGAATTGAACCCATGACCTAAGTCCAAAGGAAGGTATGGTGGCCAACTAGACTAAGGTCTAGTTAATTAAAATGATCTTTCACTTTAATGTTAAGTGTCTATTTTGTTATTAAAAATTAAAATGATCTTTCACTTTAATGTCAAGTGTCTATTTTGTTATTAAAAAAAATAAAAATAAACAAATAATGAGTATGAGACTCGAACTAATCACTTGAATTAAATATAATATATATGATAAATATTTTATTTTATTTTATTTTTACTTATTTATATTATATATATACTAGTAAAGAAAAGACTCATTCGAAGGACGGTCCCAGGTTGCAATGATGTCATTTTATTAAGAAATATAAATTAATTAAATTATTTAAGGTAGTGCTTGATAATTTGATTTAATAATAAAATTTAAATGTATTAAGTAAAAATTAATTAAGCATGTTTGATAATCACAAATATTATTACTTAAAAATTTTAAGTGGTTCTGAAAATGTAGGTTAAAAAAACAATTAAATGGCCAAAAATTTATTTAGTTATACTGAATTTATAAATACTTACTCATTAGTATCAACATATACCGTTACAATCTCACTATTATTACCATCCACAACCATTACCATTGTTGTCATTACTCCGTTTGGATTGTGAAGGGAAGTGAAAAAAGAAATGATTGTGATTTCTGACCAAGGTGAGAAGAAAAGAAATGATTACGGTTTCTCACCATTACGTTTGTATGAATAAAAGACAATATAATTTTTCACCTATTTTGTTTGGATAGAATAAATAAGAGAAAATAAAGAATTCACAATTATTTTGAATATAATAAATTTTATGAGTAGGCATGTCATTTGTATTGTAGATCTACATGGGAGATGAATTCATCCGACGACATTTATCATTTATACATATACTCATAATATTTAGAAGATTCCGCAGATCCCAGGAGATATGGTGGTGAATGCAATGATGGTAGCAATGGTGGCTCATGCAAATCAAGCATTTGCAGCCTCTGATGAGATGATGATATACCATGTGGGTTCTTCAGTAGCAAACCCTTTTATACTAATTTGTCTTAAAGATTATGGACAGCGTTACTTCACAGAGCATCCATGGATTGGTAAAGATGGAAAGCCTGTCATTGTTGGCAATTTTACACTACTCACCTCCATGGATAGCTTCCACAGATACATGACCCTTCGTTACTTGCTTCCCCTCAAGGTTTGTTTGTTTTTTATTTTATTTTATTGTTTTTAATTTTATTTTAATAGCAAGTGTGTGACGCTTTTAATTTTGAGTTACCTTTTGGGCTTGGAACCCAATGAGATAAAACCCGGGATGTCGATTGTTGACTTGGGTTTTAGTGGACAATGGTTTTAGGGGGGGATTGGGTCACAAGTTTAACGTGATATCAAATGCAAAGTTGTAGCTGCGTCCAAATAAGAATGTTGGCATCTTGCATATTGGATGAGAACAATGTCCAAAATGAACTTAACATGACACTTCTATTCTGGAGGCATATTTTAGGCATGTAGCCCAAAGCGACAAACTCGTAAGACTTTATTTGAGTTTAGCCCTAGCAAATAATACTTCTAGGTCTAATAAAACCATAATATTGAAGGATGACTTTGCAATACTATCACTCCTCTAAGTTAATGAAGAACTATTTTGTCGAGTTACAAATTGATGGATGGTGGTTATTCAACTATCCTTTTGACGATTTCTCAATAATTTACAAATTAAATTACCAACTATTACTTATAATAATGAGGGTAGACCTTAAATCCATATGGACAGATATTGGGCCACACCTCATCTCTAAAGCATTTTTGTTATTCAATGGTTGGGTTGAATTAGATGTGACGCTTAATGGAGAGACACAAAGAGGCCTATATATGGATGGCACTTGTCCTCATTTCTACGCAACTCTCTTGGGTGTGTAATAAAAAACAACCTTATAGGATTGCTTTTCACCAACCTCTAATTCCAATTGACAAGGGATTTTAAGATTTGAAAATTTCTTTTCTTTTAATCCATATTTCCCAGTAACCAAGCAAAGCATTACACTAGAATGATCATATGATTCACTATTCAGAAACTAAGTTTAATACTAATTTTTACTTATACAACACTGATCTTGTCTCTTCTATTATTAATTTTTCTTTTCATATGTTCTTTTTTTTTATTTTATTTTTTTTTTCATCTTTTAGGGATTAGAATTAGTAAATATAGCATCTTGCCAATATTTTCAAGGCATATATCTCAAGTTGCGTCGAAAGATCAACCACGTGATGCGGATGATTGAAATTTATCGACCATACTTGTTCTTTAAGGGCATGTAAGTATATATTTGTTACCTATGTAGTCGTATTAAGAAAATTTACTTGTGATTATCATTGTAATACTGCTACTAATGAGCTTGTTTTTTGGATTCAGATATGATGATATCAACACAGAAAAGTTGCGCATGGTAGCTGGAGAGAGCGGTGTTGAGACAGACGTGTTTTACTTTGATCCTAAGGGCATTAACTGGGAAGACTACATTATGAATACTCACATTCCTGGCTTAGTAAGATATGTGTTTAAGTGATTGTCGCAATTGGACTTTATGACTAGGACTGCAAACAAGTTGAGCTGAGAAAGAGTTTGAAAATCAAACTCGAGATCTGCTTGAAAAATTAATATAGTATATATATGTTGTGTTTGGGGAGAACTCACATCTCAAAGAATTTCCCAATTTGATATATTTCATTGATTAAGAGACATGTAATATGAATATTTACTTTTTGGTTGCTAATGTGTTTGTTGTAAGAAATGGTTTGGAAAAATGGGTTGACAAAAATAGACACTACAACAAAATGGCCTTTGGTGACAGACTGATTTTGTCTCCAAACATCAATTTTTGTCACCAAAATGATCTGTGACAAAAACATTTTGTCACCACGTTCGTCGTCTATTTGTCGTCGTAGAAAGTACCTGGTGATAAAAAATTGTTTTGTTGCCTATTCTTCATTTTTGGAGACGAAATTTTTTGGGTATGTTTGGTTTGAGTTTGGGAGATGAGTTTTAGAGATAAAAAGTACGAAAAGTTATTTGGTTTGATTTTTTTCAAAAGATGTTTTGGAAAATTATTTTGAGAGAGTTTTGGAAAAAGTAATTGATTTGATGTGTACAAGAGAGAGATTTGTTTGGAAAACTTATAAACCAAACAAGTTTTGGGAAATTTTTTTGGAAAAATTTGTTTGGAAAAATTTGTTTGGTTTAATTACTTTTAAAAACTTATTTGTAGAGAATTTTTCCCAAAAATTTTTGGGAAACACAAACCAAGCAAGGCCTTTGTCTCTAAATGTTGAATTTTTCATCCTCTATAACATCCATTTCGTCACTATAATTAAATAATATTTTATTTTTAATTGTTTTGGCGACAAAATATTTCATCACAAAATATTAAGATAGAGGTTTAAGTGACGAAATGTATCCTCACCATTGATATAGATTAAGGTGACGAAAAAATTTGTCACTAAACTGAGCACAAAACAAAATTCTTCAATGACAAAAACAATTTTGTCGCAAAATATTTCAAGTTAGTGACGAAATATTCAGCAAATGTGGCGAAATTATTTGTTGGAACTATATCATTAGTGGCAAAATTATTCATCAAGAAAAGTTGTTTGAAAACTAATAGCGACAGTTTTTTATCGCTAATAATAATTAACATTTTTAAAAATGGGGGTAATATTTTAAATTTTCAATTTTTTTTTTCACTAAAAATTCCCTGCACATTTTAATAACATGTTTACTAAAATATCTGTTACAGATCAATACAAAAACTTGTTCATTTTCATAAATACCACAATTGAAATATGTCTCATAATATTCACAAAAATACAATATCAACAGCGGATTACAAAACACGTCTCCTAATATCCACAGAAAACGTGTCTCCTAATATCCACAAAAATATAATGCCAAGTGCAGATTACCAAATATGTCTCCTAATATATACAAAAATACAAACTTTACAATGCAATCAAAATACATGTAAAGTAATATTAACAAAAACACAAAATAAGCAAGCTCTTGCTCTCCATATTACCAAACGCGTCGATCTCCAATCTTCAATCTACAACAAAACAAAATCAAAAAAAATAAAAAGAAAATAAAAAGAGGAAGACAATTACTATCTTATCAATAAAATATACAATTTAACATTTTTCGAAAAGTGCATTTTCAGACTTAGTTTTCAAATTGGGAGTCCCGTGGTAGTTCCATAGGTTTCCATAACTTACATTGGTCCCTTCCGAGGTATTCGAGGTGTTTTCCAAGCCTTCTCGCGTCTATTTCACGATTTTGGCCCCCAATGACTTATTTTCAAGCCTAAGTGTTGGGGAAAGTGCATTTTCGACTTAGTTTTCAGACCAGGAGTCCTGTGCTAGTTCCGTAAGTTTCCACAACTTACATTGGTCCCTCCTGAGGTGTTCAGGGCGTTCTTTGGGCGTTCTCGTGGTTGTTTTACGACTTTGACCCCCCGATGGCCTATTCTCAAGCCTAAGTGTTAAAAAAGTGAATTTTTCTACTTAGTTTTCAAATTGGGAGTTCCGTGCTAGTTCCGTAAGTTTCCACAACTTACATTGGTTACTATAAGTTTGGAATACAATGGTAAATTTTTGGGAGTCTCCTGCTTGTTCTATAAGTTTTCACAATTTACATTGGTTCCTTTGGAGGTGTTCATGATGTTTCTCGAGCCTTTTTGTGCCTATTTGAAGCTTTCCCCCCTCCCCAAGACTTATTTTCGTGCCTAAGCATTGGAATAGTGAAAATTTCAAAGTAATTTTCAAATCGAGAGCCACGTGCTTGTTCTGCAAGTTTGCACAACTTATGTTGCTCTGTCTCAAGGTGTTTATGTTGTTTTCTGGGCCTTTATATGCATATTTCACTATTTTTCGGGGACCTTTCGTGCCTAAATGTCAAACTAGTTTTTTTATTGTACCCTAATTAAAGAAGAAAGTTTATACTAAATTAACATAGAAACATAATATACTAACCAAGAAGCTTGTTCGTCAGAATCTGAACTTTCCTCACTCTCAAAATTTCCCGTGATATCTTTCCTCCTCAAACACTTTATAATACTTTGTATCTTCTTTCTTTGTTTTTTTCTAACTTTTGAAACCTTGCAATTTGTTCATAATGTAAACTAGATTATGCAAAATATGAATTGATGTATGTGACATTACTAACATAGGAGACCAACCCAAAAATAAATTGAAAAAGTTAACATCTAGCACTATTAGATACCTGAGACTATGTTGATGACACTTATAATGAGTTTTGTGAAAGTTCGGTGAGAACCTTGATGGTTGAGGTTTCCTTTCATTTCAAGCAAATGACTCTACACAAAAATAATTGCCAAAAGTGAAACAAATGATAATGCAAAAATTAATAGCAAATTTACTTAACCATGACTTAATCTCTATATGTGTGTGTGTTTTATTTATTTATTTATTTTTTTTGTGTTGGGGGGCTGCTAGGGGAAGCATATTCAATTTACCTGATTGTCCATACTTAGGAATGTGGCATTTTCCATAATTTTCAAACATTTTAAATGCAACACCAAACTTTCTGGATCCCCAATGTCATTTGACTTCTACATTGAAAAGTAACTTTGTTCTAACTAACTCTACAAAACCAGTCAACAACCAAAAAAGCATAAATCCCATCTAATAAAGCCAACACCTGAATCATGGTGTATTTGTTTGCTAGCAGATTCATGCATAATCATGGAAAACATATATCAGAAACAAGATTCAACTATATATAAGACTGTGGCTCATAAAGGCTACTGTCACGGCCCAAACCTGCCCCTAAAAATTTGGATGTGACTGGCCTAATTCAAAGCCTTAACTTATCTATTCTGAATGCCATTTAAACTTAGGGCTTGAACGGAAGCGAAATAATAACAGAATAAACATTCATCGAGCTGTGACTATATGCCAGGATCGTGTAGCATCACTATATATATACACAACATTCTATACTATATACAAAAGACCCATGTGGAAGTTAAGTAGTAACAAACTTACATACATATCGTTTGATCCCAAAAGAAACAGCACGTGTAACCCTAGGGGATCCCAAAAAACATAACAAAAGAGTCAGTTATGGGTGACTCAGCAAAACGACTCAGTTTCAGGCTCCTGGGTTGACCCTGGGTTGACCCGCAAGCTGGTTACCTACAAAACATCCAGGAAAAATAGAGTGAGCAAGGCTCAGTGAATGATAGCTGTATAATAAACTAAAGTACAAACATGAGTCCATATTCACCGTTCATAATCTCACTTATTTCTTTTTCCGTTCCTGGATGGCCTCGGGCCCATATTGAACAGAACGGCCTTAGGCCCATCATAGTACAGAATGGCCTCAGGCCCAGCAGAATACAGAACGGCCTCAAGCCCAACAGAATACAACCGAATGACCTCGGGTCCATATTTCATATTTCAAGATTTAATTCATATCAAACTTATCGTTTATGACCCAAAGTGCTCTTAAGAGTTTCCAAGATCTCCATTAATATAACAAAACACAAAATGTGAATAAAGCATGATAATACGCTACTATCACTCACTGTGATGTGGGTGAACGCTGGTTCCCTCCTGCGAATGCCCTACACACAGCATATAAATCAGAAGCGCAACATTACTCTTAGTTTCCTTTCAATTCTCATTTATTCGATTCGTTACGTTATATGCAATTAAATACATTATAGGAACATCAAATGGAAATATCAACACATTCAGAGGGCCGAGAAGGGCAAAAGAAAGTTCTGGAATTTTTAAGTCTGGGCTACACGTGCGGAAGTCCCCCGCTGCACGTGCGAAATGATGCGTCGCATGTGCGGGCCGCGCGTGCCTTTTTAGCAAAATGCATTCAACCTTCTTCCGTGTTTTCCACACGTGCGGTTGTGAGCCCCGCACGTGTGGCTGAGTCTTCCGCACGTGCCGCTATGGGCCCCACACGTGCGGTCGTTTGCCCTATTTTTCAGTCCGAAACTTCAACATTTCCAAGTGCACAAGGGGTAGTTCGATAGCCAAATTCAAGGTAGATACATACTAAAAACATAGCATATTAACACATAAGCATGTGATTGTAACCAATTAAGATCAAAACTTGCTCATTGGGCCTTTACATCTCCAATCCTCCATAAATTTCTCATTCTCACTATGTAAGTATTTATATATATATATAGATAGACATGCATATGCATCATGTAAGCTCCAACACACAAAAGAATGAGTTTTTAACTTATCATAAAGATCAATCTCAACCACACACACTCAAGAGAGTCATGATCACTTGTAAAATTGATTACTCACAATCAAACCCTAGTTTTCAAGGAGGGAAGATACTCAAAGTCAAAGTTTAATTCAATCAATTGAAGTGGAATTGAGGATTTATTAATGATCTAAGCTCACCTTAAGTTGGATTCTTCAATTGCTCCTAGCAAGTTTCTCAATCCCTAAATTTTGTTGATCTCCTTCTTCTCCCTTTCTTTCTTCTCTCTTTCAAGCTTCTCTAGACTTTTCCACTCAACTTATGTTAAGGAATGAATTCAAAAAGGGAGTTATATATAACACTTATATAAGCTTTTAGCTTCTAAGGTTGCCAAACGGGCCTTAACGAATCAGACGAAATAATTTTTTAATTAAACTTCCCAAAAGGCTCTAAAAATTCCTACTAACATGTTCGCATACTTAATTTCAGTTTATCGCGCCTCTAAGGCTTTAAATTTCCACTCTACAT